AGGTGTACTGATGCACTTTTCGATGCTCGAAGAAGGTGTTCATAATAGGCAATCCGTTGTTTGCACAAAATCGCAACAACTTCATGCTGTTATTAGTGAGGTCGCTAGGGCCGTTTTTCCCAATCACGCCTTCCACTTTTCTGCGTCTACTCCGAAGTGCGCATTAAAACCGCCCATCAGTATGAGGGACTCTGTATTCTGCACTTCGGACAGAGCACACTGCACTTCTTTAATGAAGGACTCCCTCTAAATCTCCCTCTAAATTAGGCGCTGAGACTTGTACCAAGGTCATCGATTTAGCCTGTTGTAGTCTCAGTCGGAAGATTACCACGCTTCCGCTGATAGGCTTCCGCTGATAGTGGATTATTCTATCGTCATGGTTGGGTTCTACAAGAACGCCATCACCAGCCTGAGTACGAGTCGTGATATCTACGCCTGGGTAGAACAGCTTCTATCCATTGAGGTTCAGTAGTCCAGTGCCTGGGCGTTTTGTTGACAAGAGTCCAACAATGTCGAGATTGTTCTTCATGGCCTCATCAACTTGTGCTTTTCCTCTGAGTGAGGATGTTCCAATTTCCGACTTTAAGCTTCCACTGGTGGTGTCGTTCTCGTGCAGCCTTTTCTGACGTGCTGTAATGGCATCGCGCTGTCTGCCTGCTCCGTTCAGAACTGGTAGCGACTCCGTTGCTGACTGGTATCTTTGTCGTCGTTGCGTCGGTCTTCATCAGCCGTTGTTTTGCTGCCACGCCCCCGGCCGGCAGAGGGCAGTGAGGAGGTTCCGACTTTTCGCAATCTGCCCCAGTTCCCCAACAGCCTGCGCTGCCTTTGGTAACCCGCGCTACGACCAAGCAGGTTTAATTTTCGATGGCGTCAATACCATGAGTGGCAGGTGGCTGAATTTTACGTAGACTTACCACGGTCTCCAACCCTCCTCCTTTCTCATCCGGGCTTGGGTTGGGCAACGGCGGAGTTAACGTAGAATGAAACGTTCTTAATTTGTAATTCCTTTATTCTTCTTTCACGAACCTGTTCATGAAGATGATATGGCGTATATCTTCTTTTTCCATGATAGTTTATCTATAAAAAGAGGGAACTGTAGTACAGTGTAGTGTGGAACAGAGCACATAATCGTGGTTTGTCACTGTGATTAGTTGACACCGACGTTTTCCTCCCTGCCTCACATTTTGTTGTAAAGTTTGTCATTGAATTTTTCTGCTGTTGCTTATTCGGAAATAACCCTGTTGTCTCGTTTGTACCTCTGTACCCTTAACACTGTCACACTAGCTGATCAGTGAAGTAAGACTGCGTGGCGTACCTTGCCTTTGTGTTTAATGTTGATCGTTAGAGTGACAAACAAAATATTGCAGCTTAATCTGAAGTATGAGTAAGCTGAATGATGCAGTATAAGTAAAATATGATTTGTCATCCTCAGACAGTTTGGATCTGCGGTTTTATCATAAAATGCAGGTGACTAACTGAAACCTGCTTTACAACTGCTAGTCTTAAGGAACCATGCAAATTTCGAGGCGAGTTGACCAATATGTTTCTGTGCATTGCCGTCTAGAGACTAATCCTCTTTTGTTGTTTCTCCATAGGTAGCGACACTTTTGATACTTAAGCACTTGTAATGCTGTCACGGAGATTGCCATTCGTGGCTGTGACGTTGAAATTCCCAGTCTTGCGGAGGTAAAATGGTCCCACAGCTTGTAATATTTCTACAATGGATTAAAGTGAGCGACGTATCGAGAACTAAGTATTATTAACTATTGTTCAAGTGAACCACGAATTGATTAGATGCTTCCTTTCACAGCAATATGCATTAGAGTTATTTTCATTGTTACCACCGAAATGTGATGATTTGCGCAAGCGGATGTTAGCTAACTGCCAATATTATTATAGCGCCGTGGTTGTGAGCATGGTGATGAGCGCTGTCTGCGCCGATGTTCAGCAGAGGCCTTCGGCGGATGCGATCAGGTAAGTCCTGAATGTTTGTCGGCCAGAGTTTTCGAGCTAACCATTTTAAATATTACCTGTTCAGATTCTCGTTGAAGGTATCCACCTTCCACGTGTCGGGTCTACCCAACAAGCTTAACAAAGTACCATCGATTCTAAGGCAAACGGCGATTGTTGCTACCGACGCCGCTGCATCGGCCCGAGAGGAGGCGCAACCACAGTTGCTTCTCTTGTTCGAAACACATCCGTTGGATAACTCATGCGATCAGCACGTCCAGTTGAAAACTCAGCCTCTGGACATCGTCTACGACGCATCGACTGTCAATAAGCTGTTGAGCGTCTTGAAACCTCCGGAATCGGTTCGACTTAAACAGTAAGTGTAACGCGTAAGCGAAGAGGTACGCTTGAAGGGCATTTGACCGGTCAGTAAGTTTTCGATCAAAACATTTCCTGCGACTCGTAACTCGGTCAGTCGAGGGCTGAGTTGGTAATCAAAAGATACCAGTTGCCAGTGGCGACCACGGTTTTCACTAGCGCAGTCACAACCACATAAATTCTTTTTCTTTCATATGGCTTCTGCATGAGTAGGATTAGGTTGGCGGTGATTATATGTTGATACTAGGTTCATCATTTCGGACGGGTCAAGATAAGAGATTATTCGCTTCTTTGGTGAGCTGTTTGGACCGCCATCGGCAATATTTTGAGGAATATGCGGAAGAGAGGTTATCCTTGGCGAAGTCAGTACGTTGATCGTCATTGGCGTCATCGTAAACGAAACATTTTCTTTAACTGTGGTAAAGCCAAAGGCACCTTTTTCGGATTTCGACATTGAAATTAGTTATCAGTTCTTTGTATAAATCTTTCATGATATGAAGTCAGTACATAATCCTTCTCGTTGCTGGTTTAATACCAGTGGCGCTTTAATTTATTTTGTCTTCATACGTTTGAATCATTTCAAGCACGAATCTATTAGAGCATCAAACGAAAGCATTGTTAACGGCTATTTGCTTTTTCCGCATAAAAAGTAAAATTTCATTTCTGTATAAATTTTTTTCTGTCTTTGTTGTCTGTATTACTACGCTTATCATTGTTAAAAGTCCATCACACCTGATTCATGTAACGAATGCTTTGGCAGTTTTCAGTGCATTCACGAAAGTTGGATGAATTTTACCGTCTGTGCTAGTATTAATGGCGAAGTCCGATTAGACACCTGACCTATTTTTAGACACAAATAATTACATGAATAGTAGATGTAGTGGTTCTTGTCGAGAACTCTGTTACTTTAAATGCATTTAAACATTCCAAACGATTCGCGTACAAACGAAAAAGCATATCTCTACCTTGCCTGGCTACTTTTTTGGGAGACTGTACTGTATCAGTTGGATCCTGTAGTTGACAGAATGGTGGAGTTTGTGAATGTACTTAGCCTTATTATGAGCTTTTTGTTTAGTAGATAAGGAGTTTGTGTGCCTTTCTATCTGTTTACCTGCGTATCATTAACTAAGGTTCCGATCCTTGCTGTTTGATTTTCTTAGCTTTTGGCATATCAATTTTGGAACGATTGTCTCATCAGTTTTCTCAAAAATAAAGCATTAAGATAATCCAGTACCGATTTGCAGTTTAAAAAATTCCATTTTGCTTATGAAGAAGTTCCATCTGACTGGGATACGAATGTTAAGGGAGTGCATTAGCCTTAGAACTGGGAACTCTAGCTAGTTTAAAGGTGGGCACCTTTGAAGCGGTGTACGCTTTATATTAATTTATTCTGTGCCTTATGGTGCCCATTAGTAACTAATCCATTGCCTTTTTCACAGTTATAATATTTGAATATGTAGAGGTCTTGGATTTGTCAGCGAGTCAGTGATTAAACGGGTACGGCAGCTTTTGGAAACCTTATCTTCAAATTGTTGCATGTTATAGTATTGGTTGTCCTAACGCCACCATTAACGGCTGAGTTACTTTTGTTGCTTCCCCACATTTCGGGAAGATTGTATGTAGCTGAAAACAAGTTAAAACTTGTTCAAAAGGAATCGCTCGAAATGCATAAAGCATCATAATTGTTTGCCACTGTACATCCTTATATATATATATAACAGATGCCTTTTGATATTAACCAACGCCTGCGAAGCTGTTATGTTCCGTTTCCTCTCATGATGTTTTCTTTTACCCTCCTGCACGGGCCTCTGGAGGAAACGATGTAAATAACGGTGGTATGTTTCATTGCAAGCTGCATAATCACATGTTTCAGTCTATTTTCATTTCTGCTTATCAAAAGCTTTCGCTTGAAGTTTTAAGGATTCCATTGATTAGGATCTTCATTCTCTAATGCATTATTCTTGTGATTTGGAATTGAGTTTCCCTTTTACGTTGTGTGAGTGTTAGGGTGATTGGGTTTGTCGGTAACGACTGACCAAATCGTCGTCAGGTTTAATCATCGGTGCTCAAATTAGTCAATTGACTAATGGTCATCAGCGCAAATTACATGCGAAACTTGCGCAATGTTGCATCACTGACTACGTTTTAACCGGCCTTATTCAAGTGTCCTCGAATGCAACATGAAATTATGGATTATTAGTTACACGTGCTTTCTCTGAAATAATTTTATTAAATATTTATATTGCTGCCAAAATCTCTTTGAAAAGTTTAGCTTGTTCTGTGCCTTTAATCGTAGTCTATCTCTTGCTATAGTGAGTGTGATACTTTTAGGCTGACAGATGCTGCAATGGCAAAATACGAAGATATTAAAGCAAGATCAGCTGCCGGCTTAGAGTATGCGCTACAACGTCGTACTAGGCTGAAGGTCAGCATAAATGTTTCGCCGACGTGTCTTCGCATCCCAGAATTCGGTGATTTAGCAATGTAAGGTTACCATGGTTTTGATTGTTTTATATTTAATAGGTAAGAAAGCAAAATTTGATTGTCTTCTGTTACATGGTGCGAACAGAATAAGTTAGCTTGAGTTTCGGATTAGAGTTAGCTGCGCATGTTTTATAGGATGCAGCATTCAAGGTAGAAAGATAAGTAGCAGCGATAAATGGCGGTGCTCTTGGGTAAGGATTCGACGACATTAATGATCATTCTGCGTCTATCCGAACTTATCCATCCATATTTCGCAATTCATCACTCCCAGATGCAGAGTCGATTATGGATGTTTAGAACCTCTTACAAAAATCCTGGCTTTTTAATTGACAGCTAACAGTTACAGTGCTGCCGATCATGGTTGGAGTGTGTGTTGCGGGAGTATAGTCTTTATGCAAATATGATTTATTACTCATTATCTTTAAAGTATTCATGGATAACCGTTGGTATGTTCAGGATGTTCAAGATTCATGGATAACCGCTGGCTTGTCAGTTTCGAGCTAAGGGATTGGTAGCACGATGTCCTGTTGCACCGTGTGTGCTGAAAATTTGCTTATAAAATGCCAGCAGTCCTCAGACACTTTCCCAAGATTTGTAGACAGAATATCGCAGTTTATTTATGTTAGGCTAAAACCGCTGTAGAGATCTGTCAATCTTAGTTACAATCTCGATGGTTGATCTACGCGGTGCACGCAGCATGGGAAGAAGTTCACCTTTCCATACTTTAGACGATTAGGCCGAGCCGAGCTTCCACGGTAATGACGTTCTCTGTACTTAGACTGAAACTGTTGATGCAAGTCCTTCTTTCGTTTAGCAATTTTTGACAGTTTATGGAAGGTTGAACAGGAAGCAGCACGCACCTCTGCCAGAGACTATCATAATTTAAAAATAGAAACTTTTAACCATTAATCTGGGTGCAGACTAACAATATTGTAAGATTTTGATGACCTTAAGTAGATGATACTTCACCTCATAATCTTGAAGCACTCTACACCGTTTTGATCGCTTAACCCTATCTTACTCGTTTTCCAGATCGATGATGCATTCGTAAACCACTGTGGCATCTTTCAGCATTTTGTGCAGCCCTGACGCAGAGGAAAGGTTTACTTACTGTACGGCACTCGGGATAAGCTATATTGCCGTGCCTGCATATCCTTCGCCGCGCATCTCATATTTGCCTCTATGTCCCCGAAACGCTTTTGGGAGGAGAATGCGGGAAAACGAT